CGCCTTTAATCCCAGCACTGGGGAGGCAGAGGCTGGCGGATCTCTGTGAATTCAAGGCCAGCCTGGTCTACATAGTAAGTTCCAGGACAGCTGGGGCTACAGGGAGACCCCGTCTCAAAAAGAGAAAAAAAACAAAACAAACAAACAAAAAAAACACTGCCTGCTCTTGCAGAAGACCTGGGTTTGCTTCCCAGCACCCATATTACAGCTAACAACCATCCATAACTCCAGTTCCAGGTAATCCAGCACCCTCTTCTGACCTCTGTGGGCATTGCATGACACAGGTGCACTTACATACATGCAGGCAATACACTCATATACATAAATATTAAAAAATAATAAATAAGATGTTTAAAATATCTGATTGATTCAAATATTTCATAAATGTAGTTTGATCATCTTCAAACTCCCTCCTCCATCTTCACTTTCACCTTGTCACGCCCCCCAACTTCATGTCCTCTATTAGAAATTGAAAACCCCATCCGTTTTAGAAAACACATCTAAACCGGGTGCCAGAGAGATCAGTGATTGTCAATTAGAGACTTCACTCTTCCTCAAAGATCAGAAACACTCGGGTTTCCTCATCAAAGTTAGTTATTCAAAGCCCGTGTACATGCAGGCTGTACTTTGGTTGTCCCAGGGTCTCGCACAGCGCAATGATCCCACCATGGTCCAACATGTTCTCCAACAGGTTGACTCCCCACAGGGTTTTACTGTGGGTAAAAGAAGTAAGGGGCCGGGCTTGGTGGCACATGCTTTGAGTCCCAGCACTCAGGAGGCAGAAGCAGGTGGATCTGTGAGAGATCAAGGCCATCCTAGTTTACATAGCAAGTTCCTGGCCACTTGGGGCTACATGGAGACCCTGTCTCAAAAAGACAAAAAAAAAAAAAAAAAAAAAAAAAAAAAAAAAAAAAAAAAAAAAAAAAAAAAAAAGAAAAAAAAGAAAAGAAAGAAAGAAAAAGAAAAAGAAAATTAGCAAGGACCTCACAGCAATCCCCTTGACCAAGCTTCATAGCAAGGGTGCCCCAGGGACCAGGCCACCTGGCTCTACCCACTCAGCTCCACCCACCTGCCCACCAGTACCCAGTGGTTGATTTGAGATAAGAGCAGGTATCAATAGCTTCTTGGGCTGCTGGATAGTTCCAGCTGTGCATCCCAGATACCCCATCAAATCTTTCCCTTTTGTGGAAATGTCCATTCCTGGTGAGAATGTACAAGTGGTGAAACAAATCTTTGTTAATATAAGGTCATCCCTCCAAACCATCACAGTATATCATTTATTATTATTATTATTATTATTATTATTATTATTATTATTTTGAGACAGGGTCTCCCTGTATCCCCAGCTGGCCTGGAACTCTCTATGTAGACCAGCCTGGCCTCCAACTCACAAAGATCCACCTGCCTCTGCCTCCAGAGTGCTGGGATGAAAGGTGTGCACCACCATGCCCGGCTAGTACATAATTTTTTTTTTAATTTAATTTTATTTTTATGTATTTATTTTTGGTCTTTTTGAGACAGGGTCTCCCTGTAGCCCCAGCTGTCCTGGAACTCACTATGTAAACCAGGCTGGCCTTGAACTCACAGAGATCCGCCTGCCTCTACCACCAGAGTGCTGGGATTAAAGGCATGCGCCACCACGCCCTGCTATTTTTTTTTTAAAATCTCCCTCTTCAGGTATATTGACTGCAGGAAAGGTGGTGGCTGGCAACTGCATCCAGGAACTTGTGTAGACTTCTCACGTTGGCCTGGAGGGGGTGCTGCTTGCATGTGGTCAGTGTAGGCTAGTAAATTAGATGCTATCTGGGAGTAGCTGTTGGTGATAGGATTTGTTCCAATACCCAGTGACAAACCTGAATGCTACTTGGCATCTTTCTGTTTTGATTAATGAGGTTAACTAGTGAAAAAAGGTGAATTTCAAATGATTTTTGGAGTAGAGCAGAGATTTTCTAACACAAAACTTCAAGTTTCAGGGCATAGAGATGGCTCTGGAGTTTAAAACACATATTGCTCTTGCCAAGGCTCCAAGTTTGGATCCTAGCACCTATGTTGGGCAGTTCACAACAGCCTGTAACTTCAGGGAATCTGATGCTTCTGGTCTCTACTGACACCTGCACTTAAGTGCATATAACCCACCCCAACATACACATAATTAAAATAAATCTTTTAAAAATTCAAATTTATGCCGGGTGTGGTGGCATGCCCTTTAGTCCCAGCACTCAAGAGGCAGAGGCAGGTGGATCTCTGTGCATTCAAGGCCAGCCTGGTCTACACAGTGAGTTCCAGGCCAACTGTGAAAATACTTTGTGGCCAAGAATTATCCAATTACACCTACATTTTCTTTTTTGGTCTTTTTGAGACAGGGTCTCCTTGTATCCCCAGCTGTCCTGGAACTCACTGTGTAGACCAGGCTGGCCTTGAACGCACAGAGATCCACCTGCCTCTGCCTCCTGAGTGCTGGGATTAAAGGTGTGCGCTACCACGCCTGGCAAAATGTATTTTTATTTTATGTGCCTGATGTCTGCAGAGGCCAGAAGAGGGTGTCAGATCCCCTCAAACATGAGTTACAGATGATTAGCCAGTATGTAGGTGCTGGGAACTGAACTTGGGTCCTTTAGAAGAATAGCCAGTTCTCTTAACTGCAGAGCCGTCTCTTCAGCCCCTAAATTAATTTCCTTCTTTCTTTCTTCTAACAGGATCTTTTAAAAATTATTTTATCTAATGTGTCTGTCTGCATGCTGTGTGTGGGTACCTTTAGAAGCCAGAAGAGGGTGTCAGGTCCCCTGAAGTTGGACTTACTGGCCATTGTGAGCCACTAGACATGAGTGTTGGGATCTGAACTTGGGCCCTCTGGAAGAGCAGCAAGTGTTCTTAACCACTGAGCCATCTCTCCAACCCTCAAATTTCTTTATTTGAAAAAACACCAGAAAGCAAACAATAAAATGAGAAAAAAAAAAGTAAATGGGGCCATCAAGAAGGCTCAGTGGGTTAAAGTGCTTGTCACTGAGCACAATGACCTGAGTTTGATACCTGGAACCCACATGGTGGAAGGAGAGAACTGACTCCTGGAAGATGCAATGTTTTTTTTTTACCTTGTTAGCCTCAAAAAGGCACACACATGCCCACACACACACACAAAATAAGTAAAAATGTAATAAACTGGGCAAGGTAGCTCACACCTTTAATCCCAGCACTCAGGAGGCAGAGGCAGGTGGATCTCTGTGAGTTCCAGGTCAGCCTGGTCTACACAGTGAGTTCCAGGCCAGCGGGGTGCTCTAGGGAGACCCTGACTCAAAAAAGACCAAAAAAAAAAAAAAAAGAAGAAGCACATTAGAACCCTTGAACAGGCGTGTTGGGGGTGAGGCAAACCTAGGGGGCAATGCTAGTGTTATGAAGAGGTCTCCACTTTTCTCTGGTCTCCACCCTAGCAGCAACCTTGGTTCTTGTGATCTGGAAAGGGAAAATTTCAGATGGAGCACAACAGTAAATAAACAGTCAAGAGTTTAAACTAGAGCAAGGAAGCAAAATTATGCTCTTTGGAAAAAGAGGGAATGGGGTAGAGTAGGATCACCGGATCCCAGAAAACAAGGGACTTAAATTTATCCTCCCTCTGTTATCCCCTCTCTTGGGCCTCCTCCAAGGTGAGCACTTAAAAGAATAGGGCATGGCCAGGCGTGGTGGCACACGCCTTTAATCCTAGCCCTCAGGAGGCAGAGGCAGGCAGATCTCTGTGAGTTCAAGGTTAGCTTGGTTTACACAGTGAGTTCCAGGACAGCTGGGGCTACAGGGAGACCCCGTCTCAAAAAGACCAAAAAAAAAAAAAAAAAAAAAAAAAAAAAAAAAAAAGAATAGGCATGCTTTTATTAGAAACTCATTTTACTCTGAATTCATCTAAGTAGATATGTAAGATGCAAGAATGTGCATAAGACTTTGGGGCTGGAGAGATGGCTCAGCAGTTAAGACCACTGGCTGCTCTTGCAGGGGTCCTGGGTTCAATTCCCAGAACCTACATGCAGCTAACAACTGTCTATAACTCCAGTTACAGGGGATACGACAGCCTCTTCCTACACTGCACAACACGGGTGCACGTACACACACATGCAGGCAATACACTCATACATATAAAATAAAAATAAATTATTTTTTAAAAGAATGTGTATAGGACTGTAAGTACTCTCCTAGTTGAAAAGTTCACTAGGGGAGAGGGTAGCAGCACTCTGTGCATGCTCTCCTATCCTGAAGGACCCTGAAGCCAGTTTAAGCTAAGTCAGCTAGTAGATTACCACCTACTATTCTTTACATCCTGTTTTGGGGGCTCTAGTTGGTCCATCTGAAGAGACCACCATCACCTATTGTCCTTTTGTCCTGTTTTGGGGGCTCCTGTTGGCCAATCCCTACCAGAACTAACTTTCTGCCTACAATTTAGGCAAGCTCCAAGGAGGAGGCTATGGAAGAATAGGAGTTTCAAGGCTGCGAGAGCGGGGCGGGGCTTTCCTGTAGACGCAGTAGTACCACGTGTGAAAACAAAGAGGTGGGCAGTATCCGGGTGTATAGCTGCAATTGTGGGGAGAGGTGCCAGCGCAGATTTTCTTCTTGCTCAAAGTTAGCTTTTGGCGGTGGAGGGCCCAACAATATCACATGCTAACACATTTCTCAGGTGAAAAAGCAGTTAAGTTCACCCATTCAGCTTTCACATTTTTATAGACAAATACACGCAGGGTTTAATAAAGTAAAAGGCTGTCTTACGTAAAGGCCTTGGGCAGCACTAGAGGACTGGCCGCCAGCACTTGGATTTTTACTGCGTACGGTCTTAAGGCATTGCCTGGGTCTATCAAACCCTAACACCACACCTGTCCAGCTTGTCTCTGGGTAGACTACATTTCCCACAATAAGTCCGGCCGAGCCAGACAGCTGGACGCTGTCTCCACCAATAGCGGGGCAGAGTTTCCAGGGGCGGTCCTCTACAACCAATGAGTGTGCCGGTGGGCGGGCCTCTCCCGTCCATTGTTCTCCGTGCCCCACCGGCTTAAGCAGAGGTGCATCCAGAGGGGCCGGGCCGAGACTGGGGCGCTTTTGCTCGCAGAGCTACGGCAGGAGCCGAACCTGGTCTCAGGAGAGGTGAGCCAGGGAGGCAGGTCTGGAGCCGCGTGCATGGCGGGAGCGGCCGAAGAAGAGCGAATAATGGGACCTGGCGCCCGCTGAGGGCAGCCTGGGGGAGGGGCGTCGGGGGCACTGTCCAGGCTCCGCGCTAAGCTCTGCGCGCCTGGCTCGGTGGAGAAACGGACTTGGCTCATGCTCCGTGCACACTGCTGGGAGCGCAGCGTTTACACTGGAAGGAACAACATGGGGGCATCTCGCCAAGCCTCTTCGGTGTACAGATGGGGAAACTGAGGTTCCGAGGGGGCGTGTCTTGCCTCAGTTTAGCGAATTAGCGGTCTAGGTTCACTTTTTCCGGGCTGTCAAGGAAGATTTCCCAGTGAATTTGTGCTTCATGTAATCATTTGGGTAAATTGTGAGCATGTTTTTTAACCCCCGCTCGCTTTTCTTTATGTTGTTGTTACTGTTCTGTTTTTACTTTCCCTACTTGGGGTCGGGGGAGGGAATGTTATCTGAATCTATGATGTAATGATTTTTAAAAATAAACATTCATTGCTTTCATAATATTTAAATCGTTTTTAAGTCTACTGCTCTGAATATCTTGTAAAGTTGCTGTTCAGGTCTTGCCGCCTCCACCCCCTCACTTCGCCCCCATGTATGTTCATTTTTTAAAGGGAATTGAGAAACCGGGGGTGTTGGGGCAGGCCTATGAGCCCAGCAGCACTCAGGAGGCGCAGCAAGAAGATCAGGATTCAAGGCCACCCTGGACTACATAGTCAAACCTTGCTTTAAAAATAAAAACAAGCTGCCGGGCGTGGTGGCGCTCTTGGGAGGCAGAGGCAGGCGGATCTTTGTGAGTTCGAGGCCAGCTTGGTCTAATTAGTGAGTTCTAGGATACCTGGGGCTATGAGGAGACCCTGTCTAAATAAATAAATAAATAAATAAATAAATAAATAGAAGCCTGGAGTGGTGGTGCTGGCCCTACAGGTGGATATCTCTGAGATGAGGCCAGCCTGGTCTATATGGTGAATTCCAGGCCAGCTGGAGGAGTTTCAGGCCTGCTGGGGGCACAGGGAAACCCTATCTCCAACCCCCACCCAAAGACAAAACCAAAAAAAAAATGTCTGTACTAAATATATATGCACTTTTTCCTTTGTCATTCCTAAACAATACAACTGTTTACATAGTATTTACACTTAGGTATATGTCATCTAGAGATGATTGAAGTATATATTACACTATTATATATAAGACACTTGAGCACCCATAGATTTTGGAATCTGTGTTCCCTGAGGGGTAACTATTTTGAAATATGGTAATATTGCTTTCTTCCTAGTGAAGCTCAGAACATCTGACCCATTGCTAATTTTTAAAATGTCCCATTAGCTAAGGATGAGTGTTACCTGTTTATTCAGTGGTTACTGAAATTGAATGACTAAATTGTATATTAGGTTAAGGTCACTTGCTCTGCTGCTAGTCTGAACTGACTTAAGGCAGAATATGTCAGTTCTGAGGGGCACCCCTACCTAGAACATTGCATTTCTAGTTCTCATTCTTTGGTTTTTTGAAAAGAATTATTATTATTATTTGTGTGTATGCACATGTAATACTACTTTACTATAGAGAGACAATGTTTTCAAGAATAAGGCATTCTTCCTTTAAGAGGGATAAGAAGCCTCTGTTAGTGTGTGGATGTGAGGATCACTTGGTCTGACCCAGGCTGTTGTGAGTTGGATGGTAGGATAGCTACTTAGTGAATATGGTCTCTGTCTTGTTTCTCAGCAGGGTTTCTTGCTGAGATTGGAGGTGGGAAGTGACTTCTCAGACAGCCTGCCTGGAGACGGGTAAGGCTTGAAGCCTGAGTGGTCATCCAGGAAGTTGGACATGGCAGCAGAGGTACCAGCAGTGACCACTGCCCTTAGCCCTTTGGTCCAGGTGCCTCAAGAAGATGATGAACAGGCAGAGGTCACCACTATGATCCTGGAGGATGACTCTTGGGTGCAGGAAGCTGTGCTGCAGGAGGACGGCCCTGAATCTGAGTCCTTTCCCCAGAGCGCTAGAAAGGGCAGCCCCCAGGAAGAGGGTGCAGCTGGTGGACCTCGGGGTGCACTTGTTCACTTTCGGGAGCTCTGTCGGCGCTGGCTGAGGCCAGAGGTGCACACCAAGGAGCAGATGCTAACTGTGCTGCCAAAGGAAATTCAGGCCTGGCTGCAAGAACATCGGCCTGAAAGCAGTGAGGAGGCAGTGGCCCTGGTGGAAGACTTGACCCAGACCCTTCAGAACAGTGGTAAGATACAGAACCACAGAGGGAGAAGGTGGGAGCCTTCCACAATGGAGGAGTATAATGTTTGTGGTGGAGTAAGTGGTGTCCAGACAGATTAAGAGATGGCGCAGTTCTTTCACTCTGACTTGGTGGCAGTCGCTCTTTGAATGCCCTCACTGTGTGCAGTGGTAGCTCCAGAATTTCAGTATAGGAGGGCTTGAAGCTCCATTTGCATAGTAAGCACAGCTTTTTACTTGTTTGTTTGGGTGGTAGGGGAGCTGGTAGAGATTATGATAAAGCTCAATGGTAAATAAAACACCTGCTTAGCATGGCTCTGTGTTCTAACCCCAGCACCACAATTATTCTTTTTTCATAGGTGGCAGAGGTTATGGGGAAGGGAGCTATTTTGTGCTTGTGATTTTTTTTTTTTTAGTGTTTTATTATTTTTTTATAAGTGTTTTGCATACATATATGTAAGTGCACCTGTGTGATGCAATGCCTACAGAGGCCAGAAGAGGATGTTAGCTGCCGTGTGGGTGCTAAAAACCTAACCCAGGTCCTCTGCAACAAAGAACAGTCAGTATTCTTAACCACTGAGCCACCTTTCCAGTCCTGTGTCCTTGTGATTCTTTTCTTACCATAGAGAGACAATGTTTTCAGGAATGAGACATTCCTGAAAGCCAGGCATGATGGCACAAGCTTTTAATCCCAGCACTGGGAGGCAGAGGGAGGCAGATCTCTATGAGTTCAAGACCAGCCTGGTCTACATATCAAATTCCAGGCCAGCAGGGACTACAGGGAAACCCTGTCTCAAAAAGACCAAAAAAAAAAAAAAAAAAAAAAAAAAAAAAAAAGGGACAGGAAATCTCTGTTGGTTTGCAGATACAAGCACAAAAATGACCTCTGTAATTCAGCCCTTGGTACCTTCAGTTGGTTATATGGCAACCATTCAGATAGTTCCAGCAATTAGAAATAAAAATCCAATCCTTTTTCAAAGTGGTTATTTTATGAAACCAGGTAAATATCAAGTAAACCATCTAGATCTTTCTGTCGTATGAAGTCATCTTTGACCCTTAAAAAGAGTAGTTATTGGCTAGGCATGGAGGGGTACACTTGTTATCTTAGCACTCAGGAGACCAAGGCAGGAGGATTGCAAGCCAGGGCTTTGTATATATAGTAGATCTTATCTGGGGAAAAAAAATCAAAATAAGCTATTTACAGTATTTATTACTGTATTTGCTATGTTAGTAATAAGTTCTGGGGTCCTAGCATGCCTTTTCATTTGGCCTTCAGTTGTAAGCCCTACTCACTTGATCACCAAATGTTTACTTTAGATCTGCCTATTCCCCTAGGATAATTTCAGGACACATGGGATTCTGCTGCTTTTGTGCTGAGTACTTCGGGAGTTCAGAGAAAGGAGTGTGGAGAGGACAGGCCAGATCAGAGCCTTCCTGGAAGACATGGACCATGAGCAGGAGGTTGCAGGATGGAGTAGAATTTGGAAAGTCACAGGGCTGGGAGGAGGCTGTGACAGCTGAGAGCTGTACTCAGCCAAGTCTCTGAAGAGGGGTAGCCAATAGAGTGGGTTCCTTCAGATGACAGTGAGGCAGACTGCCTGATTGGAATGGAAAGTGTGTTTTCAGGAAGTGGTAGGAGTTTGGGGGAAGGGAGAGTGGAGGCTTGAATGAGAGTCATTGGCCTCAGCAGGTTTTTGAACTAGGGCCCATGGGGCATGGGAGGAAGCTGAGTTTGGCAACAGGATGTAGGTTTGATTAGACTGAGGAGAGGCTGGAGGCAGGAGAGCAATCAGGAAGTGACCTAGTCATCAGATATGCAGTGGTAGGGTTAGGCCAGTTGGAGCCCACTGAGAGGGGAAAGGACAAAAGCTAGCATCTTTTAGTTTTTGCTGCTGTCCAAGCCGTCTGCTTAGAATTTGATATGCAAAATTCACATAAATTTCTACCACCTTGGAAGACAGTGGATAATTGTCACCAGAGGAGTTAGGTGACCCATTTCAAGATCATGCAGCTAGTATGAGGCAAAACCAAGTTGACCTGGTGTTCTTAAGCATTTCATCACATGAACAGTACTAAGTGTCTGTAGTCAGGTGCTGGAGGGAGGGGATTCCAACAGGGATTAAGGCAGGGCGACTCAGTGGCATCTAAGCTGGAAGATTTAGAAGACTGGGAAGGGAAAGGAAGGAGAAGGTGGTTTGGGGGCAAAGGTGGTAACAGTGGCCAAGGACTAAGAATCTTAGGATGTGAGTGGGATTGTCACTTGATAGGAAGCAGAGGCTCAGCAAGGTCACACAGCTGTCAGTTGGTAGAGTCAGGATTTAAACTCAGGTCTGTTTGCTTCTACACAAGTTTTGTAGATTCTAAGTTTGAAGTGAAATATCTGGTTTTCTTTGGGACAAATAACTTTTTTTTGGCATGTATGCTTGAGATCAAACCCAAGGCCTGGATCATGCCAAGCAGGTGCTGTACCACTGAGCCCAATAACTTTTCAATTTTTTTGATTTATTTATTTTTATTTTATATGTATGAGTGTTTTGCCTGCATGCATGCAAGTGCACCCCTGTCAGTGCTCGAGGAGGCCAGAAGAGGGCATTGGATCCCCTGGAACTGGAGGTATAGATCATTGTTAGCCATCATGTAGGTGCTGGGAAGTGAACCTAGGTCCTCTGCAAGAGCAGCCAGTGCTCTTAACTGCTGAGCCATCTCTCCAGTCCCTAGCCCAATAACTTTTAATTAATTAAGTAATTGATTCATTAATTTTTGAAACTGGCTCTCATGTATCCTATCCTGGCCTAAAAGTCAATATTTAGTCAAGGATGCCTTGAACTTCTGATCCCCTGCCTCTGCCTCCCTGAGTGATAGGATTATAGATGCATACTGTCATTCCAAATTTATGTGGTGCTGGAGGAGGATCAAACCAAGAACTTTGTGAATGTTAGGCAATTGCTCTACCAGCTGAGCTACATCTCTGGCCTCCTGCCTTAGTTTCCTGAATTCTGAGATTATAGGCATGTGCTATCATAACCCGGACTAATTTTATTCTTTGTACTAAGAAGAAGGAAAGGAAACCATTTCACCCTGTTTTAGAATTTACTTGCCTCCTGATGACTGTGACAAGTTTATAATAAACTTCAGGGTCTTCAGTCAGGTGTCACAGAGGTTTAGGGCTGAGGAGAAACCTGTCTGCTGGTTGTTTAGTTCGGGAAGTCACAGAGCAATATCATGTCTTAGTTGTCTGAGATGATAAAAGCCCTGGCCAACAGCTTTCCTTGATCATCCTAGATGGGAATTGTTTCCCCTGACTTCTGCCTCTGAGGTTGGCTTTGTTGGTCTTTATTTGTTTAACAGGTTCGCCCCATCTTCCTCATGGTTGCTCACAGGAATCTGCACTTTGCTTCATCCCTTTTCATACATTTACTTTACTTGATATTAGTTGACCTCTATTTTGTTTTATCAAGCTCAAGGTCTTTGAACACATTTACCCAGCATAGGGCATTTCAAGGCCTGGTTAGATAGTGGACAGTGGTTGTTTAATATTTGACTAACAGGCATATCTGGGTGTTCATATTTAAAGTGTCTTTCAATTCCAATTAAAATCAGACCTCTAGGCGGGCATGGTGGCGCATGTGTTTAATCCCAGCACTAGGGAGGCAGAAGCAGGTAGATCTTTGTGAGTTTGAGCCTGGTCTACATAGTGAGTTCCAGGCCAGCCAAGGCTACGGGGAGACCCTGTCTCAAAAAGACCAAAAAAAAAAAAAAAAAATTAGACTTCTAGTAATAGTTTACATGGCAAAACTCATCTCTATTAATGAGTACTTCCTGAGGGTGTTTTAATCCCATATCAAGCCTAAATCAGATGTTTTGAATTTCTTGACTGAATTTTTTTTCTTTTTTTGTCTTTTTGAGATCTTGACTGATCCTCTTCCATCCTCTTCCCCACTCATCACAGCTCCTCCACACCTACCAGAGCAATCTGTGTAAAACTCCACAGGCTTTTTCCCGTGTTGACCAAACCAAGAGTGACCTCCTTGCTCTGCTCAGAACCATGGCTCCCTGGGTAATCTGTCCTAGTCCCCCCTGCAGCCTGGTCCCTTCATATCACACTGTCTATGGAACATGGTCTGTGATTTCTGACATTCACCATTTGCTCCTGCATTTTCAGAATTTTGGTTCCAACTCTGTGAGATAAAGTCCTGGCTGTCCTTTAATGTGTCAACTCTTAGAAATCCTCTTCATAAAGCTGCCTATAATTCCTCTTCCCTGTCCTCAGTTGCATCTCTAATCATCTCTACTGTAAGTCATCTTCTATAGGACATTTGGATTCTCCTCTTTGGTTGGTTTGTTTGTTTTTTGGTTTGAAATTGGGGTCTCACTGTACATCGTGTGTATCTCAGGCTGGCCTTGAACTCACTGTATAACCCAGGCTGACCTTGAACTCATGGTTGTCCTGCCTCAGTCTTTCTTTGGCTTTTTATCATGGTCTACTTTTTTTTTTTTTCATTCATGCGAATACTCCTCTTACTTCTTTTAGGAACTAAGAAAAGCCCCAAAGGCTAGGAATCTTGTCCTTGCCTCTTCCTTTCCAGGTCCCCTCTCACAGGGTCCTACACAGTGTAGAAATTCAGTTGTTGGGATGAATGAAGGAAATTTTGAACTTGGAAGTTGAGAGAACTCTGTTCAGTTCATCAAGGAGACAGTCAGATGGCTACCTCATTCCAGCTCCTACATTTCAGAAATAAGGAATGACACCTACCCCCCCATCTCCCCCCCCTGTTTTTGAGATGGGATCTTATATAGCCCAGGTTGGCCTTAAATTCTCTATGTAGCTGAGGATAACCTTGAGCTTCTGATCTTCCTGCCTCTACCTTCCTAGAGCTGAGATCACAGGCATGTACCATCACACCCAGTTTATGAAGTGCTTAGGATGGAACCCAGAACTTGGTCCATACTAGGCAAGTCCTCTGACCTATATCTCTAACCCCAACAACAGCCCTTTTTAAAGAAAAC